ACCTACCCTCTGGCAAATTAATTCCTGCGAACTTTCTGCCATGGCCACCAGAACTCTTGGAACCAGTTCCTAGGCTGGGCCGAGTACGCGCAGAACTCCCTTCGCCAGCCATCCACTGGACTCACTCCCTTCCAGTGCGTACTCGGTTACCAGCCACCCCTATTCCCCTGGTCGGGGGAGCCGCCTGATGTCCCATCTGTCAATTACTGGTTCCGAGATAGCGAGAGGGTCTGGGACGCAGCTCACCATCAGCTTTAGCGGGCAGTGCGCAGAAGTAAGACGACAGCAGACCTTCGAAGGGCTGAAACTCCATCATACCAACCTGGTCAGAAGGTCTGGCTGTCAACACGGGACATCAGGATGCGCCTGCCCTGCAAGAAGCTCAGTCCCAGATATGTTGGCCCCTTCACCATCATCAAGCAGATAAACCCAGTCACGTACCAACTTCAGCTTCCCTCACAGTATAAGATTCACTCTTCCTTCCATGTTTTACTTCTCAAACCTTACCACCCTCCTGTTTCTGTCTCCACAGAGCCTGACCCGACAGAGGAACCCCCTCTTCCGTTAATCCAGGAGGACGGCGCCATCTACAAGGTCAACAAGATCTTGGACTCCTGGCACCGTGGTGGTCTCTTGGAATATCTTGTGGACTGGGAAGGCTATGGGCCAGAGGAACGGTCATGGGTTCCCAGAGTTGACATCCTCGATCCCACACTGCTGGAGGCCTTTCACTCCACTCATCCAGATCGTCCTGGGCCCCGAGGGAGAGGTAGACCACCACGACGTCGGGGTCATCGGCCCTCAGGAGCAGGCCGTGTAGGAGGGGGTACTGTCACAGATCGGCCAGGCTCATCCACCACTCAATCACAGTGCACACTGTCACCTGAATACTGATTGCACGCACCTGTTTGGAATTTGCACTCTCATCAGGACTCCTACAAAAGCACACCTCTCTTCACTCCAGTGTCCGGTCTCGTTCATACGAAGTGGACTCTCTATGCTATCTGTGCGATACATTGAGCTACCTACCTGCCTTGTGTACTTACCTTCTGTGTCTCCTCCAGTGTGTTCTCCTGTGCTCAGTTCCTATGTCAGTTCCAGTTGTCATCTCCATGGGGATATTCTCATTACTCGTCATCTGAGGTGTGTGCTGTCTTCTGTCTCCCTTCCACGATCTCCTGCGAGACCAGAGACTGTGTTATATTCTCCATCAATTCAGAGAACTGCTCCATTGCCTATAATACTCACCTGCCATTACCATCTGCATCATTTGCTGTCATTAAATATCCTAGTTTGTATTCTAATCCTCTGTGTGAGTCTCCTTCTGTAACAATGGGGAGCTGAAATGCTAAAACAGATAGAGCCAGAACAGGCAGCAGAAAGTGTCATTTTCAAAATGCTTTGAAATCACCCTTTTATTTTTACCTGATTTGCTTCAGACTTACATCAGAATAATGTCAAAAGCAGATGTAAAACTGTGTAGGGATTCTTGATAACTTAAATATTGTTGCCATGGCAATGCTTCAAACGTTGATATTCTTCTTCTATATACTCCTGAAACTGCTCTCATACAATTTACACCAAACTTTGTCTACCTGATGCAAAAACACTGAGGAACCTAAATTATGAATGTTTTTTGATATCTCAAATAGTGTTGCCATGGCGATATATTAAAATACTGGCAAAAAAGTAAACAGGAGTTGTCTTATAGCCTATCTTTGAAGTGCATTGTTTAGACTCTTTAAAACGTTTTACATATCAACCCTCTACGGACACCTTGGCAATTGAATCGCCATTGGCTAGTACATTTTTAAGTTTACTCGCCAGACTGATATACCATATATGCATGTGTGTGTGTATATATATATATATATATATATATAATGTTTGTAAAATGGCACAGCTTTTTAAATATCTGAAAGTACTACATTCGTAACATAAGTCAGTCAAGCATTATATATGATAATCAAGTATTATTTAATGATATAACTTTAGTAATTAGAATTAAAACCATGTATGAATGCACATTAGTCATTTTAACTGAACTTAGGACTGGTGGTGCTGCTTTTTTGGCCATTCAGTCTTTATGTAAAAAAATTGGGAAAAACTAACAATAATACTGATAAGATAATAATAATAATACTTAGAATTCTACTAATAAGAACAATATAAAATGCACTAAGGATTAACGAGATTCTGGATTCATGAATATTAATCAGGTTGTGTGTGTTCACTCAAACTTATTTGCTGAAATCAAAACAGGGACGATAATAGGTGAGCGCCAGCCAATGAGATCGTCGTTTGCGCATTAATTCCGCCTACTACCGGAGAACCCGGCAGTTCTTAAAAGCTGAAGAATTCCAAAAGAACTCCATTATTTTGACAGGAAAAAACAACAAAGTATATCGTTTACATGTAGCGCGTCAATTCTGCATGGTATGCAAGACTCTCTCGCTCTCTCTCTCTTTGCATGTGTGTGAGACAAAGTGACGACGAGTCGTGCGCCTTCACACTAGAGTTCACGGTACGCCAAATACAGGTGCGCTGCGAATCCATTGAGATGAACTGAGAAATATAACAGATCACTTGACAGAGAATGAAACTCTGAAGCGCTCAGTCAGAGAATGTTCGACGAGTGAAAATATATCTGTGCTAAACTTATACTTAGCGTCCAACTCACACACTGGCGAGTAAAAACTGAGAATCAGTTGATATTTACTGTACTGGCAATATAGTTTTATATAATTATCTTATAAATGCTTGTAGATCATTAAAATAATTAAAAAATTATTATAGATCATTAAAAGTTTTCTACACTTTCTGTGAGTGTATCTGTTTCACACTCCTGGTGTTCTAGTGTAATCCTTTCATTCCTGTAACTCAACAACCAAACTGCCAGAGGGTTAAATGCATGTGCCCGCTCTGCACTGTTTTCTTGATGCCATTAGGCTGGCGGTGCCACCGGACCTTGGGCCCTTCATTGCTGCTTGCAGCTATATATTTAGCCTTCTTAAATGCATACTGCCCACCGTGCTCTGTTTTCCTAAAGTCATGGGGTGGCGATGGAACAGGTGTGAGGGCCCTATCATCACTGCTTGCAGCTTTAATTATTATTAGGATTTGTCCCAAAAACGTTAAAGGTGGCAGTTATTAAGCCTCTAATTAAGTATTTCCCTGCCATTGGCAATTTTATGTCATTTATGACACAGCTCTTCCTCGAAATTGAAAGAATTTTCCGGCAATCAGTGTTTTCGTGTGCACTATTATGCATCTTCTGATATAGTACAGAATCTCCAGATCCAAAAGCAAGAGAAGAAGAAGCAGAAAAAAACCATTAGAACCACTGCTTACTTACATGTAAGCTAATGCGATCATCAAACAGTCAACAACATATAAATCAAAACTGCCTAACGTTACTGATTGAACTGTAATCCACAAAGAGGTATATGACTGTGGAAGCTTTTTAGATGTATTTCTAAAAATACATGATTTTCTCAGCTTTTTGTTCAAAATAAAACTTTCCCACATTCAAATGCTGATAAAATAGAATGTAATTCTTGCTACAAAATATTCTGGGGACCAAGACATTTTTGTAAAGATGATCAAGGGAAAGAGCTAAAAAAAAACTTTATTCTAAAGAATTAGTTGACTACAGAATTATCTTAAATGTTCATTGTTTAAATCTCAAAATGATCTAAACATTTTTTTTTCTTTTCAAAAATACTAGAAAAAGAGGAATCCTTCTATATTCCTTTTTGAAAAGGAATGGTGTCTGCAAGGAATTTCAGTCAGGATTTAGATCATATCATAGTTCTGAAACTGCACTTATCAGAGTTGCAAATTAGTTGCTTGTATTGTCCGATCATGGTTGCATCTCTCTATTAGTATTACTAGACCTTAGTACTACTGCCTTTGACACTATTGACTACAACATTCTTTTGGAAAGTTTTTTTTGTTAATTTCTGTCACCGGACAGAGTTCAGGTTCCTTGTCGCTGTCATTTTTTGGCTTGCTTAGTTGCAGTTTAAAAGACACTTGATATTCAGTAATATTGTCAATCTGACGGCATTGACACTATATCGGATCATAACAAAACTTGAAATCAATTGAGCTGAACATTAACCCTAATGTCTTATAAACAGCTGCTTTATATTTGAATTATATTAGTTTATAATTTATTTATAAATTGATTTATGAAGACAGTTGAGCTGCTTATCGTTAAAATTACCTTTATTTATAACTCAACTGAATCAACACCGAACTAACTGTAGCTGAGTAATGACATTGTAATGTAAATGTCACTTAGTCAAACCTCTTTCCTAAAGCATATCCTGTGTCTTGTTTATTACAGCTGTCCTGTGTATTGCAGCATCTCCAGTGGAAAGTCCTAGCTGTACTGTATCTATTGATTATGTATTAGTTCTGTCCCACGTGCAGAAGGTTAAGATTCTTCAGAGGCTTTCATTCTAACTTTGATACTAAAGAAATGTGCTACACTACTACCTTCAGTAAATTCTTTTCCCTATAAGGACTTTGGTCATGCTTACTTAATTTATGTATTAGAGAAATATAATATTCTGACAAGCCACTCAATTACAGGAAATACAGGAAAATTTTAAATTAAAGATGGCACAATGTTTTTTATAATATCATGTGACAGTTGTGTATAAAGATAATTTGCTTAAATTTTTTTTTTATCTTCTTACAGTTTTGAAGTACAATTGTGTTATGACTTATTATTATGATATTCCATGTTTCCTGCAGTCCAACAACAGTTCAGCAAAATGTTCAATGGTTGTTTTTTAAAGATTCCTCATAATAATTGTAGTGACATGGTCACCACTGAATAAGGTATGTGCTACTATAATTAACTCCTAGATTAACTGTGTCCATTGTGAAAGACTGAAAGTAGTGGAAAGCTACAATATCGAGTCTGGCCAAAATGCAGACAATTTTGCTACAGCAAAAGGCAAAGTAGAGGAAAACAAAAGTGTTCTAACCTCCATCTAGACTGCGAGAAAGAAGGTATCTCTTGCTAGTGGACCGTTCAAAGTGGGGAGCGGGCCGATCGATCAGAGCGCTGGCCTGCCGTGTCTGGGCCTGGGTCCTTCCACTGTATCTGAACTTTGAACCCATCACCAGAAAGCCCTTTGGTGGTGGCTCAGGGGACACTAGCCTAAAACAGACCAATACAGGAAAATGTTATTGGTTTACTGATATTGACGTCATTAATAATCTGCATCAGAAGGTTCTGAAAAGACAACCCCCTGTATTAATTAAAAGCTACACAGTGGTTGATAGGTAATTGTCTCAAGTCAAAATAGCCCACCACCAAGTCTCTATGGTATTCTGGTCTTTATAATAACATACCTGGAGCAATAGAGGATATGCCAACAGAGGCATTCAATCTGAGATTCTTTATCAATATTAATCATTCCTAAACTTTCTCATATATTTAAAAAAAGGCGGTATGACTATCAAGACATAGCCACACTAGACTATGTTCTCCATTGATGCCATTTAAATTTCATGCAAATGAGGGAAACAAAACATATTCAATAGTGTGACAGCTTCAGGCATTGGGAGGTCAAACACAAATGACTGAAAGTCATAAAAGCTAAATTCATAGGACAATGGTGACCCAAGGTTTGTCACTAAGAAATGTGAAGTAAAATAAAGGCTGCCACATTAACATTAACATGACTACAATGTTGATAACAAAATTATATAAATCAAATTAGTCCAGCTAGTTTACCTGAAAAAGGTGTGGTGTTCAATGCAAACCTTCCATAGCCTCTTGGCGGCTCTGTGATTAGAAAGCTTGAAGCCAATGGTGCTCTCAAATTGCTCATACTGTGTAAAAGAAGGGGAAGAACAAATCAGGTAGTTCCCTGTCACTGTCTGGTCACTTTTGTCTGTTATATGTGGTGACAGAGTCCTGACACCCATGTTTTTGTATTTTGTGTCTAGTTGAGCACATAGGGGCAGTTCTCCTTGGCTGTATGCTCTCCTGTCCCTTTTGTGTTGGAGTGTAGGGTATGGATCCTGACACTTCTGTCTGCATTCATGTCATTTTTGGTGTGAACACTTGGCTTCTGTCATGTTTGTTTCTATTTACCATATGCTCTTCTATCTCATGTCTTTTCCCTGCCCTCCTGTAATCTTTTTAATAGTTCATTTGCCTCACCTGCTCTCCCTTAACATTCATTTCATTTGCTGCCCTATTTAACCTCCCTCTCTTCTGTGTGAGTTCTTGTATAACTGCGAGTGTCTTATGCTGGGCACACACTGCACAATTTTAGCCCCAATCACATAGTGTGTGTTATCAAAGACACAATCTGAGAGAAGCACACTAAATATCTGGACCTGTTGGTGACTCCGAGTCCTGCAGTGTAAAATGTGATTTGACTGAAGATGACACTGGCGATGACCAATATTCCCTCTAATTTTTTTTCTTGCTGAGCAAAACTTTTCTCTATTGGGTGGACATTTCGGCCACCTGAGCAAAAACATTCTTTACACCAAACCTGTACAGCGCGTGCACACACACAAAAAGAGTGTGCAACTTTTAACTTTAATGTGCTATTTATATTTGATTTGACCCTTGATGTAACTAAATGATGCACATTTTAGGTTACCTGAGAAAACTTTTTTTACAGTGCTAACAAGAAATTCTATTAAAAATCACGCAGAACAGTTTGATTCTTTATAATAATATAATAGGCCTATAATAATATAATATAATATGAAAAAAATATTTTTTTGAGGTCAGTTATTAGGTTTATATAATATTATATAACATAATATACTGTAATATAATATAAATTGAAACTGTAATATAATACAAATTGAAGCATTTAAACTGACAGAATAGAATAGAATAGAATAGAATAGAATACAAAGCATTTAAACTGATATTGTTTTAAAGGGGTCATATGATGCGATTTCAATTTTTCCTAGCACACCTCGCTTTTTTAGAATTATGAGCTTTGTAAAAATCGATGTGTTTCAGAAAGGCGGGGCATAGAGGAGAAACAATAATGTACATTATATAGAAAATAATGTGTTTTTTTTACTTTAAACTGCATAAACACATTGCATTACACCAAATACACAAAATAATGTTCTTTTTAGCAACGTCATATGACCCCTTTAAAAAAATGTGAACGTGAATTCTAATAGCTACAGTATCTAAACATCCCTATGTAGTAGAGTTTGCACACTACTACACCTGGGTGTGGCTTTTAAATGTCTCAGAGTTTTGTTACCGTTCTGTGCCCATCATCCACTATGTCTTACTTAGTCAAGCAACTCTTATTTTAAAACATAGTTTTATTTCACGTCACTGCATTTGCGTTGGCTCACATGTTGAGCTATTTCGTCCGCAACTGTTAAAGTATTCGATTTCTACAGCGACTGATTTGGCGCACATACTACTCTTTCTATGAAACTGTAAACTGCCAGCTCCGGTTCTAAATCTATAGCGCGCCAACTCTATATTGATATAATATACCTTTATTTTGCATTTGCTAAACAAATGGTTTTCCCAACTAATTTTTGCGTGTGTCCTGTGCGCAGCATTTATTCTTCATTAAATTAAAGTGTCTAACATGCTATTAATTGCATTAACCCTTGTATGGTGTTTGGGTCTGTGGGATCCGTTTTCACTTTTTATCAAAAGAAAAATGATACTATTAATTATGTTTATGTGTGTGTGTGTGTGTGTGTGTGTGTGTGAGAGAGAGAGTCTGTAAGAGTGTGAGTGTAAGTGTGAGTTTTGTGTTTCTGCCCCTGCCATTCCAGCACAAGGTTGTAGCACTTTAATTCATAAATGTTATCTAACAAAGGTAAAGGGCAAATTTTGAACATATATGCTGTTTATATTGCTTATAATTGGGATGAAGAAAACATCTGTTGAGTATTTTAACATATAATTTTTAATTGTGTTGAATTAAAAACCCAAAACTGCAGCGGGTCCACCAGACCCACGAACACTGGCCGAGTAACAAAAATATGAACACCACACAAGGGTTAAGGGGGAAGCGTCACCCCAAGCTGAGCAATCGAGGCTATGCAACAAGCACGTTGCTTAACCTGCCCTCTGGGGTCAACAAACACACAGGCGCGTTTTGTTGCATTTTTTTTTTTAAAGCCCCTAAAGGAACTTAAATTACTCCGTTAGTTTTGATCGTACAGATAAGAGCAATACATCAATCGAATCTGTAAAGGGTCTACTTTTATTTGTATACACATAATATCAACAAAACTTTGTGCTTTTGTAAAATAAAGAAAACAAACAGGGTGCGCTGTCTGCCACCTTGGTCTCTGTGATCTTCATTTAGAAATGCGTCACTAAAATGAACTAATACTCAGTGAATAATCGACACAAAGACATGAGAGATATACAGTATCTATAGAAAGCTTGACATGTCTACTTTTAAACGAAGCAAATCTTATCGAAAACAAATATTCTGTGATAAAGTAATCCGTATGAAACCAACGCATTGTCCAGTCTTTACTGTCTGGCTTTATTATCTCTAATTAGATCACGCCCATGCGCTACTTTCGCTTTTGATATTACAATAGTCCATGTGAGACACGCGGCATGCAAACGCCAGGGCTGGGAAGTAACGAAATACATGTAACGGCGTTACGTATTTAAAATACAAAATATGAGTAACTGTATTTCGTTTTAATTACATTTTAAATAGGTGGTAATCAAATTACAGTTACATCTGAAAAGTATTTTAGATTACCAAAGTGATTACTTTGAATTTTAATGTCATTTCTTAATTTAATATTTAAGTTTGGGGATTTTAACCAATAAGGCAACTGATTCTCCGTTGAAAAAAAAAAAAAAACTGCGTGTAGCAGCCTGTTCATTTAGCAACTCGTAGTGAGAGTGCATACGCTCATAATCACGACACAAAAATGGATGACACAACAGAAAGCCATTCGCGTGATGCATTTCTCTCGTGGAAATACAAAGACTATTTATTTATAAATCTGAAAAAGGAAGTAACATCTCAGCTCAATGCAATGCCTACCTGCAACAAAACTTCTATCAGCATCGAAGGATTCAACATCTAATCTGAAAAAAGCATCTAGAAGGAAGTTGTTCTTGATCTTTGAAAATTTTTATCCAGTAACTCGTTTTTCTATTTTCTCATATTTTGAGTGTTGAATGGTTATCATTACGTTTAATATTTCTAAGAATTTAATTGAAAAATGACAACGAATTCTCCTAGAATTCACACTTTGCATTCAGTTAACAGATCCATACGATTCATGAAATAAAAGTTTATAAAGTCAAAGATAGCTTTGTGTGCTTTACAGATTAACTTGAAGTCTTTATTCATTCGAAATGTTCAGGAATAGATCATCTGTGGCGCGGTAATGCGAGTTCATGATCCGATTTGTGAACAGATGATTCTTTTGATTCAATCTTTCAAATGAATCATTTCTTTTGTTTAACACGAGCCCTGTCAATTTTAGCTCAGCGATTCTTTTGTGCCGATCACTTCTCCATAGAGAGGATTATCAGTGAAGTAATCACTTAAATTCATTCAACAAACAAATCTATTGTATAACTTGGAAAATTGTGCCAGTTGTTTTGGCTGCTTTTATGATATGTTTGGTGTGTTTGGATTCATTTTGAAGCTTGGAATGCAGCATGAAACAGCATGGAATCGCCCTGTCAATTTTGACTCAGCGATTCTTTTGTGCCGATCACTTCTCCATAGAGAGGATTATCAGTGAAGTAATCACTTAAATTCATTCAACAAACAAATCTATTGTATAACTTGGAAAATTGTGCCAGTTGTTTTGGCTGCTTTTATGATATGTTTGGTGTGTTTGGATTCATTTTGAAGCTTGGAATGCAGCATGAAACAGCACGGAATCCCATTCATTGTATTCAAATTGAATTTATATTGATTGGTAGATTTAAATGACACAACATTTTTTTGTTGTTCATAGAAATGCTGTGGAAAACTGATGGTGTTAAAAATAAAATGCAAGGAAAACGCAAATCTTATGACTGGTAGATGTCACTTTTATTTAGAGTTGGGAACATAAAAACAAGACATTAATATGTTCCTTTGTGTATAACTTAAGTATTAAGTATCTTAAGTATTCTAAAGTATTTAGATTAAGTTACTAAACCTGAGTAATCTAATGAAATACATTACTGATTACTTTTTAAAGCATGTATTTTGTAATCTGTAGTGAAATACATTTTAAAAGTAACCTTCCCAGCCCTGGTAAATGCCCACATCACAGCAAACAAAGCAGAGATACTTTTCCTCAAGCTCATCTCGGCTACTTCATTTCTGGAAGAAGACGCGCTGAGAGGAATAAGACAGAATTTACCTCAAGACACGCTAAGAGGAATGAGAGAATTTACCTCAGAAAAAGACTCGCTGAGAGGAATAAGCTTTGGATTACCTCAGAAAAAGAAGAACGCGGCGGCTTGATCCAGCGGGGGATATCATTTACTGGAGTAAGTCTTTTTTTTACTAAACTACTTGCATTAGTTGTCACATAACTTGCACACATTTTACTAGGTTAGACTTTTTCCACACTATAATTCCTGACTAAATGTATAATCAAGTGAAACATTACGAAGATTCATTCGCTGCATCTAAATGCCTCAAGATGTCAGGATGTTTTTTGTTAATGTTCTATAAAATAGACAGCAATACGATATAAAAGCAATATGAGTTATAATGTTACTAGCCTAATTTTAGAGTAAGAATCATTAGACAAAACTTTAATGTTCTATAAAATAGACAGCGATACTATATAAAAGTAATATGAGTCATAATGTTAAAAGCCTAATGTTAGAGTAAGAA